GAGTTTAAAGTTATGGTGCAACAGGATTAAAGTTAATCTTAAATATAACTTAAATCCAGGATCAAAATGATGGGTTAAAATGTAAACCTGCTTATTTTTAAAGGTTTGAAGTTTGGTGCAAAAGAATTATTAGATAAACCTTGATTTAATCAAGATTGAAAATTTATCATTGCAAAGCATTTAGCTATAATTTGAAGAAGAAAAAATGCACATTAGGCCTAATATCTGAAGTGGACAAGCGGCAATAGGCCTAATGATTATTTAAAATATCATATGAAGAAGTGTTTCTTTCACAAAATGAGTATTGTATATATAACTATAAAATATAGGCTACTCAATTTTTCTCCCTCTTCACCAGACACTCATGTCGCTTCCATTTCTTTTGGGATAAATGAATGAATTCACGTGTTGTAAATCAGTCTATAGGCCTATAGCGCACATAGCCCCTAAATTTAGTGATCAACTATGCATATTTATAAATTAACATACGTACAACAATTTTTTTCTATTAAATGATTTTGTCTTTGTTGCTCTTAGTTATAAAGTATGGTAGCACAGCATTTTTGAATGATTGTCTTCATGAGTTTGCCTGCAATTGCATGTTTCCTCTCACTTGTAAAGTATGCTAGCAGTTATTTCTTCTAGTTCTTTCAAAGCAGTTCTTTCTGCGTTTCCGCTCACATATTTTTAAATCTGTTTCATTGAGGTTCCAAATAATGGCTCATTGGCTTCGATATAACACCTAGAAGCATATATTCTTATGCACACATGCAAAGTATGTTGCAGCTGTTATTTCTATGAAATTATGTTGTCTTTGCTATTCTGTTACTAATAAAATCGTTTTTTTTTTTTCACTGCTTGTCCTATTTTGGCACAATCCCTAAATTTAACTCGAGTAGTTTTACTAAGGGCACCCATCTCACATGAAATTGAACTATGAACATATTCTACCTGCCTTCCTGATATAAATTTCTATGAATTTGATATGGTATATAATACCGAGACACTAATTTGGGCAAAGAGCACTAACGACTTGTTTAAGACTTGAAGCTAAAGCTTCTCTAGGACTTGCAACTCGACTTGGACTTGCCTGTCTTGACTCGGGACTTGAGTCGAGAATTGAATGCAAAGACTCGAGACTTACTTGTGACTTGCAAAATAATGACTTGGTCCCACCTCTGCGTCTCTCTCTCAACTGTCTTCCTCTGCAGCTTATTTAAATGAGGAGACTGAGCTGTTTTGTAAATTATTGCAACAAGGTATTATGCATTTACGTGACGAAGGCATAGCTAGCTAGAAACCGCTAGGCTAACGAATGGCAGTAACTTGCGATTGAGCGGGCAAACCACTGCGCTGTAGTTATTAGGTGTGTTCGACTTGAAGTAGGGCTATGCAGAACGATCAGTGTATGACACGAGAGTCATTCAAAAGGAGCCTCTATAGATCTGTACTTTGATGTCACACATCGATCGATCTGCACGGAGCTGCTTCAAGTCGAACACACGTCTTGGTGTTAGGGGAGGGGCCATGCTCGGTGGCTCCATTGCGTCATCGAGCCACCATTTTAGCCCCGCCAAAAAAACCCTGAACACGGAATTGGTCAAAAACTGTTTAATGGTTTAACTCCAAAATTCAGAACTACATACTTCAGAGTCTTTGTAATGTGTTTCTGCAATACATTTCTAACATTTCTAATGTGTTTAGAAACAATTCTCTGAATTCTCTTTACACGGACTTTAAAGCCTTGCTTTTGTTATACTTAGCTTGAAAGGTGTGTTTATGTTATCTCTTTATTAAATGCAAGAACTCAAAAGCAGCAGTAGAGATTTTTTACACTGTTAGGATTTGTAATTCAAATAAATGCTGTTCTTTGGGACTTCCTAAAGAAAATTGATTTCCACAAAAATATTTATGGATTTATGATGCTGGAAAATTCAGCTTTGCATCACAGGAATAAATTACATTGAAATATATAAAACAAAATAGAGAATAGTTATCAAAGTAGTATTTTATAATATTACTATTTTTACTGTAATTTTGATCAAATAAATGAGGCCTTGAGAGACTTCTAAAAAACATATTAAAATACTCTCTCTCTCTATTCAGTAAATCTGAATATTTACACCACATACCAAAATTCTTTAAATGTAAACGTAAGGTATTTACATAGGATGCATTAAATCTATCAAAACTTACTGAACTTTATAATTTTCCAAATGAATATTTATTTACAATGCTATGTAATATTCAAACTCTCTGTTCATCTAAGAATCCTGCATGTGCAGCACTGACAGCTCCTGCATTATGGCAGTCAGATATTAATATATTCAGCTGAAGTTTCATCTCATGCATGCGTTCTGCATCACTGCCCATGGGTGTTATTGACTTGTATGCTTTTCACAAACTTCACTGTTCACACAACAACTGAACACCTCAAATTAGATTAAAATGATTGCTTAATTGGTATCACGAAGATCAAAATATAATACAATGCTAAAAAGTTATGTTGGTAGAGAGAGTGAACTGTAATTTCTAATACAAGAAAATAAGATGTGAAATCGCTGGACTTTTGACTGCATCTTTAGTTGATTCTCCTTACTAAACCGACAGAAGAGACTGAGAACACAATTAATGAAAAACCACACAGAGAGCGAGAGAAATAGAGTGAGCGAGAGAGAGAGAGAGAGAGAGAGAGTAAATCTGAATATTTACACCACATACCAAAATTCTTTAAATGTAAACGTATGGTATTTACATAGGATGCATTAAATCTATCAAAACTTACTGAACTTGATAATTTTCCAAATGAATATTTATTTACAATGCTATGTAATATTCAAACTCTCTGTTCACCTAAGAATCCTGCATGTGCAGCACTGACAGCTCCTGCATTATGGCAGTCAGATATTAATATATTCAGCTGAAGTTTCATCTCATGCATGCGTTCTGCATCACTGCCCATGGGTGTTATTGACTTGTATGCTTTTCACAAACTTCGCTGTTCACACAACAACTGAACACCTCAAATTAGATTAAAATGATTGCTTAATTGGTATCACGAAGATCAAAATATAATACAATGCTAAAAAGTTATGTTGGTAGAGAGAGTGAACTGTAATTTCTAATACAAGAAAATAAGATGTGAAATCGCTGGACTTTTGACTGCATCTTTAGTTGATTCTCCTTACTAAACCGACAGAAGAGACTGAGAACACAATTAATGAAAAACCACACAGAGAGCGAGAGAAATAGAGTGAGCGAGAGAGAGAGAGAGAGAGAGAGAGAGGTTTATTAATAGATCTCTTCACCTCTCCTCTCCAATATAAGAATCTTCTCTGGGTGTTTTTGAAAAGATGACAGAATGTCAATATCAATAACTTCTACGCCAGGGTAGTGCAACCTCAGGGCTCCAAACGGCTGAGCCCTAAAAACATTCAGGCCAATCAAAAACACCTGTTATGAAAGGAAGCATGGCGTGACAGAGTTTTAGACAAGCAAACTTCAGAGTCACCAACCTGCAGGGCCTCTAGAAAGCGGAAGGACCCGAGCCGCCTGCCCCGAGGAACAAGGCAAAAACTGGAGTTGTGTAGCAGCTCTTGATAATCAAACCTGTGGACACAAACAAAAACACAACAAACAACATTAGAATCTGCCCATTAAAACATCCATACAAAGACATCTTGTTTTACATTTGTTTGATTTCTGTTACTGTCAATTTTAACCTTGAAATATTATGAGACTGATTTACATACATGCACATACTCATACTTTTACACCAAATGCACACACAAGTGGCCAAAAGTGGGTGGGGCTAATGGTAAAAACAATCACCAATCAGCAATCACTCACGAGCATGTTCACAACCATTACTTTACTGTTCAACAAAATGCCAGTGGTTCTCTTGAGTCATATATATATATATATATATAATGTAATTAATTAATTAATTGCTATTTGTTAATTAAAAAACAAAAAGAAAAATCAATTTCAAGTAACAGTTCCTAACAGTTAACAGAGAAAAACATATATAGGTAATTAAAAAAACACAAAACAACAAACAAACTAACAAAAAAAAAAAAATGTTTTTTTCAATATTAACATTTGTTAAAAAAACTATTTCAGTCAGGCTAAGTATGCATTATGCTAAGTACGCAACATGCTGCTCACAATCATGCTGTTGTTCTGACTACAACCAAATCTCATCTGTGCTGATATTCAGTACAACAGCACTCTTTCTCATTTGACATGGTTTAATTAGCCAGACGGTAGGCTTATTACGGTGACCAGACTTGGTATATTAATATCAGACAATGTGGTCACATGTGTAGGCGGTTATTTACAATGATGCAGCCCATCCAATCAGATCTTAGAGTCTGATGTTTTATTATATTTGTTCTGGCATATTATATTAGTACGACACAATAAACATACTCGGAGAGAAATATCAAGATTAAGCTGAAGATGAAAGTGAGAGATCCTGTTATTTGCTCTCTCCTTCTGTTCCGACAGTCAGCCTTAATCTGGCTAGAGCTCACTCTCCTCTGTTTAATTCTCTTTTAATTACTGCCTCACTTTCTTTCTCTCCCTTTCTTTCTTTTATTATCACCGTCCTGCATCAGCCATCCAGCCAATAAGTGGAAAATATGTTGTTCTTCTTCTGAACTTATTTTTCTCTTTCTGCCCATGAGAAGCAGGGTTGTTATCATTAGCATAACAAAAAACTGAAATAAAATATTTTATTTCAGTTAGCTGCCAAGGCATCTTTTCTCATTTTTGTTCAGATGAAGTATAACTAAATATACTAAAATCTGCCAAATGCATAAACGTATAAAATGTAAAAATTTAAAAAACAACAACTATATAAGCATATTTAAACCAACAACAACAGCAAAAACAAATAAAAACTAATACAAAAATCACAACTAAAACTTTAATAAAAAAAATCGAATTCAAAATATTAACGATTATTATAGTAAAATAACACTGATGTGAAGTGAGCAGATTTATTCTAGCAGGTGAGCATATTGATTCGATAACACATTTTTAAATTGATTTGAAACTAAGATATCTGAAGTATGTCCAGAAAATACTGGATCAGGCAGTGTGTTGCTAAGTATATGCCACTATATGGATTGCTTTTGAATTCACGTTTGATGTCATCAAAATCAATTGGAGGACAGCATTAAAAATGATTGACAAGTCGGATTTGACAGTCCTGCTCTAGCACGCTTTCAGAGGGTCATTCAGGAGCAATAAACACAATCTGTCTCTGTCATTCAGGTATTTGACTGCATTACTGATAGCCTCACGCTCACACACCTACACACATTCCTACTTACACATGCACACACATAGGCTACTGTAAACTCAAACACATTGAAATATTTGATTTGCTTTAACAAAGATACTGCCAAAAAGCTCTGCGTGCTGGTGGGTGGAAATCCAACCTCTCCTCAGTCGTGTTGTGTGCAGCACTTCCCTCAGTCTACAAACCTCACAAGAGTTCTGATCACAACAATTCTCCACAACTTGTAAGAATAAGGGTCTAGACATCTGAGATTGCTTGCCCTGCAAGTTTGTGCTGAAACTGTTGTTGCTAGAAGCAGCAGAGTTGTAAGAATCACTTTGGGACTCGTTTTCTCAAAGATCAAACCTCCTGGCCTCTTGCTGGGTCGAATAAGGGTCTCCAACAAGAAGATTGGACACAACCTTTCGCTAGACTGAAAATGCTATAACATTCTCTCTCATTCTCAGAAAAGGGAGTTGATAATTAATTAAAGCATAACATTGCAATCAAATTAATTACATGGTGGTGTTAAGACCAAAAGTATTGCAACAAATACAAATGTTACTTTTTGCCAAAGTTACTTTAGAGTGCAGACCGTCTTTTTTTTTTTTTTTTTTTGGTCAAACATTTATTAAACCACACTGTTTTTCTTAATTGTACTGACATGTTAAATTAGCAGCCTAAAACATAATATTTCTTGAGCACCAACTAAATTTGAAATATAAATTAAGTAGAGAAAGAAAAATGCTTTTCAGTTGTGTTCAGTTGCTGAATGTGATTGACCTCTTTTGTGCTCTGTAATTAAATTGGGAAGCTTGACACAAAAAGTCAATGTGTTCTTCATACTTTGTGTTTAGAGAATAATCTTTGTTTGGACAAATTAACAAAGTGTCTACAAAGTAGTCTAATGTTCTGAACAGTGGGGAAAGCTTCTTTTTTTTTTTTACATTTGAAGCTATTTTAATGGGGTATATATTTACATTTAGTTAAAAGTGGCTGTAAATCATCAGCTCCAGTGGCGAAAAAAAAGTTCGGCAAAAGATGGGATCGAACCCAGGTTCACACTTATCCATCTGCACCACTGGAGCTGATAATTTACAGCCACTTTTAACTAAATGTAAATATACAATAATAACGCTTCCTCCAGTGAAAAAGTGTTCTGGTGTGAATCAGGAGAGAAATCTGCACAGATTAAGCAGCGTTTAAACAGCTCTAAACACATATGTGGCTGGATTTTGATGTGAGAGACAACAGCAGATGCACTTTTTCAGTGGAGGAAGCTACACTCCGTATTTTTAATTCCAGAGTAAGGGCAATTCATACAATACATTTAAACTTGTATTTGTCGTTGCGTTTTCTGACTTGTTATAATGTTTTCTGAATTGTTGTTGTGCTTTCTGAATTGTTATTTAGTTTTTTAGACTTGCATTTGTGTTTGTAATTTGTTATTTTGTTTTCAGAATTGTGATCTGCTTTGCACTTCTCGGCCACCGTAGTAATATTCATGCTATTTTCATTTAATTAAATGTATTGTTCTATTTGTGTAATACATGATTTGTGCATTGTGTGTTTTCGTTAGCAATAAGATGTAATAATTTGTTTATTTTTTTATTTGTATTTATACACTGCAATTTGTTTAGATTTGACTTTGTTACTTGTTATTTTTGTACAGATTTTTGTATGTATCCAGTTCAAATTTTATGATTATTTACTTGTGTTGTTCCAAATAAAACTGCATACATACATGGTTTTTGGGGGTTTTGGATAAACACTGAAAGTAATGTCATGCGTAAATCTTCACATTAACAATGAACACTCAAAAATAGCTAATTTGTTCATTCAACAAAACTATGACACATATTTGCACACATATTTATCTGATCTAACACTGAGTGAACTGTAATGACAAGTCGTAGTTTGACTGAGATCACATCAGTTTCATCCATCTTGTAAGGTAAAATAACCACAAAATGCACAGTAACTTATGGATCTTCCTCTGTGTATTCTATTCTGATCAGGCACAGAAGTGGCAGCCGTGGCCTTGAGAGGCACTTCTCAATAAGGCGGAGGAACGTGATATATATTCAGTTTCAAACACTAAGACACCATGACAAATTCAGGTGCACCTGAATGCTTACATACTCTGCAGTTGTATTTCGCATACATTGATAAACTAGCTATGGATTCTTTTGGTGTGACTTCCCCATACTACAACCTGCATACTGAAGAAAACTGCCTGAGAAGAATGCTAAAAATATCTAGGCCTGACCATGGAATAAAAAACTGAATCAATTATATGCTGATGAATTAATCAAATTGCAAATAGATTATTTGAACTGGATCTTAGTGCCACGCTTGACACTATCGACCACAACATTCTTTTGAATAGACTAGAAAATTATGTTGGCATTAGAGGAAGTACATTGGCATGGTTCAAATCGTACTTATCTGACCACCATCAATTCAACTCAGTGAATGAAGACCGAAAATGCGTGCAGGTCCCCTACCCTCTTGATGGAGGCCAATGCCAGCAGGAGCAAAGTCTTCATTGAAAGGAACTTCAGCTCAACCGTCTGCAAAGGCTCAAATGGGCCCTGTTGTAGTGCCGTGAGCACTAGAGTTAGGTCCCAAGAGGGTATAGAGGGGGGCCATGGAGGGTTTAACCTTCTCGCCCCCTTAAGGAACCTGACGACCAGGTCATGTTTCCCCAGCGACCTCCCTTCTACGGGGTCGTGGTTAGCAGCGATTGCAGCGACATAAACTTTAAGGGTGGAGGGAGACAGCCTTCGCTCCAACCCTTGCTGCAAAAAGGACAGCACAACTCCGATCGGGCATCTTCGGGGGTCTTCTCAGCCACGTTCCTGCGTGAGGCGTGCTGTCTGTTCGACCAAGTCCAACTCCATAATGAGAAGTAGTTGAGAATGCGAATGCCCTGTTCTCTCATGGGAACAAGGGCTGCCTCCGTAACTTTCGTGAAGACACGGGGCGACAGGGACAGCCTGAAGGGCAGGACCTTGTACTGGTATGCCCGCCCCTCAAACGCGAACCGCAGAAATGGCCTATGGCGCGGAAGGATCGAAACATGGAAGTACGTGTCCATCAGGTCGATCGCTGCGAACCAATCTTGGGGACGGATACACCTGAAGATGCATTTCTGCGTGAGCATCTTGAACAGGAGCCTGTGAAGGGCCCGGTTCAAGACGCTTAGATCCAAGATCGGTCTCAACCCACCACCTTTCTTGTGTACAATGAAGTAAGGGCTGTAAAACCCCGACCTCATATCAGCTGGAGGAACCGGCTCTATCGCGTCCTTCGCCAGTAG